TACATTTTAGTTTGCACTAGTTACATGTCAAGTGCCCAGCAGTCACATGCTGGTGGCCGCCATATTGAACAACTGCTTTAGACTGAGAGCGCTAAGTGCAGTGTAACAACTATGTCAGTTGGTAAAATTATTAAAACTCAAATGTTTTCAGTAGTTTTTGTCCATTTTTTAATCAATCTTCATTCAACTGACATTTAGTGAATATATTCTATGTGTTAGAGATTAAATGGTAGGAATATATTGCTCTTCCAGAGCTTATAGTCAAGTAAATAAAAATGATCTATAAGCTGAAACCATAAATATTGTGATAAGTGCTGATAAAGACACGCATAATACAATGTGGAAAAAAGTAAGTAGGGGTTATGGTTTGGGGTGAAGGAATACTTTAATAGTTTATAATGTTCTTGGGTCTTAAAAGGCCATGTGCATAAAAAAGAGTAAGGCAAGTTTATTTTAGTGAGAAGGGATGCAGGCACAAAGAAGTAATCAAACTCAGGGTACTTTGGAAAATTGCTAATATTCTGATATAGGTAGAGTTTAACATTTTCTTGAATAAGTAGTAGTAGAAAACAGTCACATACAGAGGCAAGAAGATTATATATTGCAGTATGCAAAGAAGTTTGACCTTCATGATGGAGACCTAGTAAATGAATTTACAATGTGCAACATACTATTTAAATCTTAAAATATATTTGTGCTTGGAAAATACCACTTTAATGGTAGTACATTAGGAAGCTTGAGGTCAGAAGAGGGTGGCCAATTAGGAAACTTTTGCATTTGTTAACCATAAATAATAAAGATTTCAGTTGTGATAGAGGGAATGAGAAGTGAAAATGCATCGGTGACATTCCGGTACTAGTGTTAGTAGCATTTAGGTCATTTCATTGTGGTTGCATAGTTAGGGAGTGGCGAAGTAAGGCTTCGATAAAAAGATTAAAAAGTCTTACATGGCTTGTAGCTTTATGTGACTTATTAAGTATGAGTGATTAATTAGTCAGATCTTTTCAATGACTTTTCAAGGCAATACCAGATAAAAAGTAAATTTTTGCTCCTGGTGTCACAGTATTTAAGTAAAATGACACCTAGTGGTGAAATCTCTAAATGTTCTTTATGTGTACTTTCTAAAATCGTGCCTTTTGTTACTTGATTTGATTAACAAATTGTTAGCTTATGATTACAGATAAATAAATTAATCTTTCTGGACCAGGAACAGTAATCAGTGAAATGATTTAAAACTCTTGAGTTGGAAAACTTATGAGAATATGCCAATCAAAAAGACTTACTAGTTACTAAGCAAAATAATAAAGATCACTATAAAACAGCATTTTTGTATTGAGATAATGAAAACTCTTAGAATCCTTGTAGAGAGAAAAAAAGTTAATTTATAAAGGAATAACAGTGAGATTGGCTTCAAACTGCATTCTAGGTCTGAATGCTAGAGCACAATTGAAAAATACTCAGAGATTACTGAATAAGAAAAAGGGTAAGAATATTATACCTGGCCCAGGTTTTATGCAAGACATACAAAGTCAGTCTTTTTAGGGTTTCAGTAAAATATACCACCTACTAACCTTCTTTGAAAATTATGCCAGCCACTGACAAATTGATATTGAATACTAAAATAATTTGATGGAGTTGTTTAATCATTTTACTTTATAAAAAATTAATATAACAAAAAATTATTTTTGAAAATAAGTGTTAAATTTGGATCTGTTTCTGAATTATATTTGTCTGATACATGTATTAGAACTTCGTGTGGTAGAGACAGGACAAAACTTGCTAGCCTCCTTCAGGGTACTCACTGATCATGTCTTTTTGAACAAGCTGGAATAGAAATTGTAATTCTTAATTTGTTCCTTGCACAGCACAAAGGCTAGTTTTTAGAGTGAATCCACTTCTTTTCTACACTCCTTTTTCTTCCCTCGTTCCTTTCCCCACCTAAACAACTATGACTTTTCTCCAGCAGTTCTTTCTAGTGCTTTGATTTTGTGTTATATTTCCTTTTCTTGTTTCTTGATATCTGGATTGCCTTCAAAACATTCAGATCCACTGCACCATCATTTTATCATAAGGGGAAGAAAGTGATAATCACCTAAGATCTTAAATGAAGAGAATCTTAGATGTTCAGTTACATGTATTTAAAAAATTTGATATAATAAGTGAGTGACATTTCTTATCAATTTGTGAAAGAATGATCATTCAAAAAATAATGATGCCACATAAAGAGATGTTAAAACAGTTGTAAACATTAACTGCATGCACTTTACTGTTTAGCATTGTTACTTAATAAACTATAACAAATAGTACTCAAATGACTGATAATCTTTTAATTAAGAAAAAGATACCTTCCCTATACTAAAATATGCATAGAAGTATTTAATAATTGAAACTACAGAACAGGGTAAAAAAAAAACGGAAAGTTTTGTGATTTTGCTATTGGAAGGAACTTTATAATAATAAACCATAGAACCTAAATAACAAAAAAGAGTGATCATTTTTAAAAATATACATACATATATCATGACACATAATCATATGCTTTCACTCACATTAGTAACCCAAACTCTTACTTGTCCCATCATGCTATGTCAAAATTTAGATGTTCTTCCATATATATACACACACACACACACACATTTATTTATTTATATCAGAAAGTATATACATTAATGCACAAATACATAGAAATATAAGCTTTTTTGGTGTGATCATTGTTTTACCAAAATTATGATTAAACCTTTTTTGCATGTTGCTTTTCTTAAAAATTCTTCCAGATCTTCTGGTATCCACCTCTAATGGCTCTGTAATAACCAGCTATTTATATTACATTTATTCAGCCTCTCCAAATTAATGAATATTCAATTTAGCTTCATTTCTTAGTCACTATAAATTATACTACAGGTACAATTCTTTTAAAAACTTCTGAGGAATTGACCCTTTAGTTTCTGTAGAAATTTAGGAATATGAAAACTTAGAAACAGATTTATTTATATTTCTGATGACTGTCCCAAACTGCTTCCAGTAAGACGGTATCCTTCGTAATTCAGCAGTGAAAGCATCAGAATCTGGGTTTTTATTTTCAGGTAGTTTTAAATTCTTTGATCACTTCATTTATTGGTCTATTCAGATTATTTCTTTTTGGTTACTTTTAATGATTGTGTCTAAGAACTTGTTCATTTTCTCTACAGTATCTCATTAGTTTACGTATTTTTTTCATAGACTTCATCTTTCTCTGATTCTGTAATTTGAGTCTTCTCACTTTTCTTCGTCAATCTAACTATAGGTTTGTCAGTTTTGTTGATTCATTTTAAAGTATCTTATGATTTTTCTTTGATTTTTGGCTTTAATCCCCTGGGCATTTAATAATGTGTTAATTTTCACATATTTTTTAGTATTTCAGTGTTTTTCCTCTGCTAGTGATTTTTATTTTAATCAATACCTGCAATCAAATCCATGACCACATGCCTACAAGGCAGGCACTTACGCTGCTGAGCTAAATCCCCAGCCCTTCTGCTAGTGATTTTTAATTTCATTGTGTTTTGATAGGAACACTTTCTTTGTATATATTTATCTTTTACCTTTTATTACTGAGATTTACTTCATGGCCTAGAGTATGATCTGACCTAAAAATATTTTATGTGTACTTGAAAAGAATATATATTCTGTTTTTGTTAGGTGAGGTATTCTATTCTTAGGTCTTGACAGTTGAAGTTGTTTGGATCTTCTGCTTCCTTGTTGATCTTCTGTTTACTTATTCTGTGCACTGTTGATAATGGGACATTAATGTCTCCAACTTTTATTGTTGAAATGTCTACTATGATCTACTATGCCATAGTTTTTGGTGTTCTAATATTAGATGAATTTATGTTCAAAATTGTTGTCTTCCTGGTGAATTGTTCATTGGAAAAATAATCCCTTAGATTGCCGATAGAAATAAGTTGACAACTTTCTGAAATTGAAGTTTACCTACTTACCCTTTTTATGGAATTTATTCCATGGACACTGTCACTAATTTATTCACTAACTAAATAATTATTGAGACCCATTATATGCCAGAAAGTGTGAGCCATTGGAGAATCAGCAGAGAATACACACAGGAATACACACACACACACACACACACCCCGCACACACACACACACCGCACAGCACACAGCACGAAACAACTTGCTTTCTTGGAGTTCGTATTCTTGTTGTTAGCTAACCAAGAAACAAAGGAATAAATACAAGCATTTTTAGAATGTGATAAGTGCTGTGGAGAAAACAAAAGGAAACCAAACCAAACCAAAACAAAACAGCTGTGAAAGGTGGTAAGGTATTTTGGGTTAAAGGTGTATTTCTTGAAATTCCTAAGGCCATCCTCAGGTTTGGTACTTGCTGGAAAAAATAATAATCTTGAGAGTAATTAATGTCTTAAAAAATGGAAAGTAAATTTTTTTTAGAGCTTTCTATAGTTTCTACAAGGAGCATCGAGAAATTGATAATGAAAATCTCAAACTTACTTTAAATATTAAAATTGATTAAAAAATGTTTCAGGCACATTTTATAGATTTGGTTATTTTAGCAGTCTTTCAGAATTTATTCAGAGAATAAATATAAGTGAATTTATTAACAGTTTAATTTTATAGACTTTCACATTTTGGGTGAAAATGTGATACAGATTTATTCAAATCTTGCAATTTTAAAAGTTGTATTCATTTAGCAAAGTATATTGTATTTTGTTTATCTGTAATTAAAGACATTGAAAAAAGACTCATTTCCTGTTACCACATAGATACTGTTTTTAAGTCTTTCATTTTGTTTGCGTTTTAGCAGTGAATTTCAATTTAGCAGTGAATTTGCTCAGTAATTTAAAATTGTCTTATTTTGTATTAGACACTTTCAAAATCATGCTAAAACATTTCGTGGTGTATTTCATTGCATTCACTCTCCTTTTTGGAATTATCAATGTTTAAAGTAATTTAGACTTTTAGAATTTAATGCAGGAAAATATATTTTAGGAAAACAGTTAAAGGATGGAAAGAAGCCAGAGCCATGCAAACCTATCCTCAAGGTGGAATTCAAAACGACTAGATCTGGGTAAGATTTTACTTCATTGCCAGTAATTTTTATATGTAATAACTTGTGTAACATGGAAGACTGTTTTATTATTTTTGAAAACCTACGTTAGAATGGTTTGTCTAGCCCAGTCTAAAGTTTTATGCTTTCTTTACATAATAAAATAACTGAGATTGGTAAATTTAGGATGAAACGCTTTGTGTTCTTTCTTGGTAGTACTTATACTATATATTTTTGAAAATTTCAATATTTTTCTTATCAAACATCATACATTGTTAGATTGGTTAACTGGAAACAATGTTTATTCACTAATGCAGCTGTGGAATAAGCAATGAAGAAAACCTAATCTAACTGTGCTATATACGTTATTTATGAAATTATTGTATTCAAAAACTAAACCTCAGTACTATTTGGCAATTAAATAGTTTAATATTAAAAGAATTTTGCTATTTATATATGAAGACTGATTGTCACTATGAATTACATGAGAATACAGTGCTTTTTACAATTTAAATATATGTACTTGCATATTTTAAGTGTGTTTTCCAATGTAAAGGAAAAATCTTATTAAATATTTCCTTGAAAATTTTGCATAACTTCAACTTTTCAACGAACTCTTTTAATTAGGTTCTAGTTCCCAGGGAAAGTGTATGATTTTATTTACAGTAACTACCTATATAAGGATGAATTCATGTAATGTAGTGCAATGGTTTTCAAATTGTGGTCACTGGATCTATCGCATTAGATGAGAACTTGTTAGAAATGCAGATTCTCAGATTCCACCCCATCAGTACCATCACCACAATATCAAGAAACATTTAAGAGGGCACCAGCCGTAAGTAGACCTGTAGGCAGTTCTGATGCTGCTAAGGTTTTGAACCATTTGTTTTTTTTAACTATACACATTTATAAACACTAATATCAGAACTCTTCCATTTTTCTTTTTATCTGTTCTCCCATCTAATTCAGCTCTTTTCTGAGTAAAGACATTAGGCTGAAAAACATAAGTTTGTTGCTACTTTTTCCTTCATTCTCTCTGATTGTCTGCTGACATCCAACAAGTATACTATGTTCAGACAGGATGAATGAATAGCAATAGGTTTGGCATCTGTTTAATTACTGCAGCATCCTTTTTTATGTGACCTTTGGCCCAGAATTATTTGACATCTTTATGCTTTAGTGCCCTCATTTGTAACATAAATGCATAATAGGTCAAACAGTGGTTGTGATGACTTAAGTGAGATGCTCATGTATATGAAACATTTCACACATTTCCTGGTACATAATAAACTGTAATGTTGGAAAATTTTTTAAGGAAAACCCTTTCAACAATTGAGTTTTGTCCCATTTGTCCTACAGTAAACGATTTATTAGAAAAAGGAAGCCAACTAGAAAAAACTGTAATACAACATAAAATATATTGTGTAAACATTTAAAGTAATTGTGCTGATTACCTTCTGAATTCTTATCTATTCATTTTAACAGATACTGGTGACAACATAGGCAACTCTTTCAGTATCTCAATTTCTTTTTTAGGCAGTACAAGAAATTTAGTAAATATTTAGTAAATTTATTTTCTTTCGTTCCTTATCCTCTTTTCTTGAAATAGCTACCCAGTTTAGAACACGAGACAGACATGTTTGACAAATTCTAGTTTTTCTTCCTAAATTGTTCACTTTTGTTTTCACTAGTAGACTTGTAGTAGACTATATAAGATTTTTAAAACATTTTAAAAACTAATTTCTTAACAAATAGCAGCTTAGAATGGGTTCAGATTTTCAGATGGGTTCTCAGGTGACCTCTAGAGAATTTTGTACTACAGAGCATTAGAAGAGTTAATCTCTCTTCAGAAATGACTTCTATTCTAAAAGCACCAGCTTCAGGGAAAGAAGAGCTCTGTTATGAAATCTAAAAATGAAGATTACTATACTTAAATATAGCAGTCTAGCCACACTTAGAGAATCACACCTAAGAGATTAACCAGCTCCTTTTCATGGTAACACATAGTATTGTAGACACAAAGTAAAGCAAACTTTTTTTCTATTATAGGGCCAGAAAATAAATATTTCAGGTTTATAGCCATACAGTCTCTTTTGTAAGTGTTTAATTCTGCTTTTCTGGATTCAGGGCAGTCACACAATACATAAATGAATGAATATAACTGTTCCAATAAAACTTAGTAAACACTGAAATTTGAACTTTATGTAATTTTCATATGTAGTGAAATATTTTTTGTGTTTTTCTCAACTATTTAAAAATGTAGAAACTATTCTTAGTTTGCAGGCCATATAAAAATATGCAGCATGCTGTAGTTTTGCTGACCCTGAGTATTTATGTATATACATTGCTACACACATGCGTATCAATAGCATCTTTATGTTTATGTAGAAGTTATTTTTGTAGTTTTTTTTCACATGGTACTGGTATTTATTTTTAAGCAGTTTAAAAGTTAATTTCATAAAATTTAATATTAATGAAAAATTAGCTGTAGATAAACTACTTATATAAGAATGTGCAAAAAACACAGATTGTAATAAAAACCCAAGGTGATGTTTGTGTTCTGCCAAAATCTAAAAGTCTATTTCAATATCATTCTCAAACTTAGTATGACTGAGTTTCCCCTACTACTAGGAACTGATACTGAATGAGAGAATCTAACTCTGAAGCCAGAAGGCAAACCCTGTCAACAAAGCTTGTTTCCCTAGGGCACAGGCTTATTCTCATTTTTTTTTCTTCCATTTCTGGGGAAGATTACTATACTGTTTATACTTATGCACACCCAGCTATATTCCAGGCACCCTTCTAAATGGTTGCTAATTTACTTATTCTTATCAACAATCTTACAAAAGCAATATTGCTGCTATTTTTGTCTTCTATACAAAGAAACTGACTCAGAGAACTTGGAGTAAATTTTAGAGGTTCTTTAGCTAGTAAGTGGAAGAACTTGGATTTAATTCTGTCTCTGGTTTTGTTGTTTCTACTATTGTTTTTGTTGTTTCTTTTGAAATAGTATCACTATGTATCCCCGGTTGGCCTGTAACTTGTGATATTCCTGCCTCAGCCTCCCAAATGCCGGGATACAGGTGTGCACAACCACACCTGGCTTGGTAACAGTTTTTACAATAATAACTATTTTGTATTTTCTTCCTTTTATTATTTACAGAGATTGTTTTCCTGAAGACTCTTCTCACCAATGTAGTAACATGAGCAATTCTTCTATACTTATTCTGTCTTCCATCCTAATTCTTGTTAAGCTATAGCAGCAAGAAGACAAATTTATTTTTGATGGCTCTCCCACTTTCAGAGACAAAAGTAGTTCTCTCTTGTGTATTAGCAATTCATGAGTCTTTACGTGGGACAATAATAGCACCTTACATCTTAAACTCAAAACTCAATTTAGATAGTTTGGCTCCTAAACTATCTAAAACAAACTATCTAGAACAAAAAGTAGATAAAGTGAACATCCATTATTTGCTTAGCATATACTAAATATTCCCTACATTGAATACGTCGTCTTTTATAATTCACATAACAGCACTGTTAAATGTGTACTTTTATCATCTCTTATGGATGATAGATACTGAGTCATAGAGAGGTTAAGTAAATTATCCTAAAAAGTGACAGTTTTTCATAGATAGCACAGGTGAGGACAAAATCATGCTAATGCTTTAAAAGTCACTCAGTTTGCAATGTGTTAAATTTTCTTTTAAATTTGCAAATATGTCATCTTCACAGGTTTAGCATTAAATTATACTAAATACAGCTAATGTGAATTGAGATTATAGAGATATTTCTGTGTGTCATAACATACTAGGTAGCTTAATGTAACTAGCTCACTCTTTCAGAGAGTTGTAAAGCTTCATATAACTTCCTGGCTACAAGTTTAATGAATTCTAGGTACAGTGTATACCGTCATACTCTTCGTAGTCATGATACAGTAGAGGATAATTTTGAATGTAGTAAATGGTCAAAGGCAAAAAATAAAGTCACCTTACAAAAGGATATTACTAACTGCCTAGTATGACTTAAAACCTCCTGATGCTTTCTTTTAAATCACTTTTTTTTGATGAAAGAGGACTTTTATGTCTTTGTAGTATAATCCCACATAATTAAAAAACTATTAAATTGATAGCTCTGTCTTTTGACGTAGAACTACTTCATTTAATAGCTATATAAGTCTGTCTAGAATTAGATTTTGTCTGGCTTCTAGCAGTTTCAAGTGCTAAGATCTCTATTTATTTTTAAGCTTTTCTCTATATTGATTTTTAAATTCTTTACTATTAAACTGAAATTGATATAACTTGTTTAATTAAATCTACCAACATACACATCTATTTGAATTTGATTGGGAAGTTTTATTTGTTAACTTTGTTGAAAATCGACAAGTATAAGCCCTTGATGTATGTTCAACTAGTAGAGATTACTAAAATGGGAGTGAGGACACTTTGGGGTAGAAAAAGGAACACATACTGAAAGAAGGATTCCCTGTCAGCTCAGAGCCCATGAGAGGCAAGAGGGTTACGCTTTCTTGTTTTAATCTTGAAACACACAAAAATAAGGATGTACAAAAGAGAGCTAGAAGGTTCCTCTTTTGTGTTCACAGAGCCAAAAGTCTTACAGGTTTTGGTCCTGATACTGAACACTGAGGTAGGTGAAGTAAACAGAAGTAGGTGAAGTAAACAGCCAGAATAAAAAGTGCAGGAGGGGAAAGTGGGCTAGCTAAAGGATGGAGTGGAACAGGAGGAATTAAATCATGACAACAAAGACTGCTTGGTCACTGTAGGCGTCTGCTCATAATAAGCGCTTGTGATGGCTTCCTAAAGGAGATAATCATAGAACATTTTACTCTATACTGTTACTCTTGAATGGCCTAAGAAGGAGAAAAATCTTCAGCATAAACTACAGTTCGACAAATTTGATGCAGAATGCAGTGACATATATGGAAATGCCAATTGAAATGGGAAAATTTTAAAGGAAAATATTTTTTCAGTCTGGATTGTATTTTTTATTATTACATGTTT